TATTGAAATTTGGAATATAATATTAATTAGGTAAATTTGTAATACAAATTATAGAAATATTTGTCTAGTATGGTGTTATGCTATACTACAATTTTGAAAATAATATTATATTAGGTAAATTTGTATTACAAATTACAGAAATATTTTTCTACCGTGATTCATAGTATCGTGTTTTGTTATATCAAAATTTAGAAAATATAATATTAATTAGATAAATTTGTATTACAAATTGTAGAAATATTTTTCTAACATCGTATAATGTTATATTCAAATTTTGAAGATAATATAATCCAGCAATGAACTTTCGAGTTCCTAATGCCAATTAATAATAATAATAATAATAATAATATTAATTAGCAAAATTTGTATTACAAATTATAAAAATATTTTTCTAGCATCGTGTAATGTTGTATCCAAATTTTCAAATAATATTAATTAAGTAAATTTCTATTACAAATAATAAAAATATTTTTCTAACATCGTGTAATGTTGTATCCAAACTTTAAAATAATATTAATTAGATAAAAATTGTATTAGAAATTAATCAACAAACTTTGTATTACAAATCATAAAAACATTTGTCAATCATCTTTAACACATCAAATTATTAAATCAAAATTAACAAATTCAACACTAAATCAATCAAATTTCTATTACAAATCATACAAATATTTTTTCAATCATCTCAAACATCATATTAATATATACCAACATTGAAAAATAATTACAAATCAATGAATACATCCGTAATAAAAATAATCTCAATTATAGAAAAGCAATAATACAACAACAAAAAAAAACAGTATCTGACACCAAACGAGTATCTTTGAAAGAAACGAAGATTAGATACCAATTTCTCGATTAATCATTTCAATAGGAAAAAAGAAAAAAAAAAAACAGATACAAAATGAAAACCAAAAAAAAACCAAAACAAAAAACAAAAAAATAAAAGCTACGTTTTTCTCGTTATCCGAGATTTTAGCTGGCAGCTGCTACCTGAAGCAAACGACGAGAAGGATCAAAGCGCAATCGAGCTCGGGAACAGGTTGTACAAAGGACGCGACGGATCCGAAGAGATTACCGTCGAAACGTCCGCTAATTTCCTACACCAACCCCAACCCAAGGTTCACTCGTGCGCGCGATCTGATAAGAATTATTCTTATACAAAACTTTTCAATCTTTTTTATACAAACATATACATATAACTTTATAAATTCATCATGATGATTTTATCATAGTTAAATGAATAAAAATTCTATTTGATTATATCAATTAGAAATGAACCATTCATGAATTAGAAATGAACCATTCATAAATTAGAAATGAACCATTCATGAATTAGAATTAACCAAAATAATTATTTTGAACACTTGTTATGAAACATTTCTAATTGACTATCTTCTAATATAAATTCTTAACTTTAATATATGTATGTATGAGAGGTATGTGTGTGTGTTTGTATGCGTAAGAAAGTAGGTATCCTTATAAATCATTTAGACAAGATTGTCATGGTTAAACAAAAAAAAAAACAGAAAAAAATCTAAAATAACAATTTATCAATTACATATGAGTTAAAGATCATTTTTAACATTGAATAGAAACATTTCTAATCTACTATCTTTCGATCTAAATTCTTAACATTGATATATATATATATATATATATATATATATATATATATATATATATGCGTAAGAAAGTAACTATCTATTTATGATAAATCATTTCTGACAATCACGTGTCACGTGTTTTGAAGAAAAATAATGCTAAACGTTATCATATCCGTTTCAAATTAATTAACAAATGAAATTGTAATAACTTTGAACTAGAAAAATTATTTGTTCTTACTTGAATAGAATTATTCATTGGATTGATTATCTTGATGAATTATTTGAATATTTTTTTTTTTTTTTTTTTTTTAATAAAACTCATCGTGTCTTCTTTCAAATGATTTCATTTTTGAATGAACGAATCAAAATATTCCGATGATTATAAAGAAATGAATTAACGTTGAAAAACAAAAAAAAGATGGAAATTAATGGAAAAAATATTTCATCTAGATTCGAAGAGATTGTTTCGTTTGGTAATTTCAACGAATCAGGGCGTGGCACAAAGTAGTTTCAAATGTGCGAAGAAGAATGCACGACAAAAGGGAAATAGAAGCTAAACAAAATTAGATCATAGCTACGTAAATGATTTTAATTATAATTATTATCGACTTTTTTTCTAATTATATTTTATTTATCATTATTATAGATAGTTTCTACTATTTTATTGTATTTTTAATTATTATTGATTTTTTTCTACTAATTTATTTTATTTATATAATTATTATAGGTTTTTTCTATTATTTTATTTTATTTTTAATTATTACAGATTTTCTTCTATTATATTTTATTTGCAATTATTACAGGATCTTTTCTACTATTATATTTTATTTATAATTATTATAGATCTTTTCTACTATTATATTTTATTTATAATTATTACAGATTTTGTTCTATTATATTTTATTTATAATTATTATAGATAGTTTCTACTATTATATTTTATTTATAATTATTATAGATAGTTTCTACTATTATATTTTATTTATAATTATCATAGATTTTTTCTAATATTATATTTTATTTATACTTATTATAGATAAAATCGTAAAATTTATTAATTATAATAAAAATAGTAATATAAATTTAATAAATAATATATATTAATTATATAATATTATAAATTTATTATTTAATATAATAATTGTATAATAAAATATTAATATGAATGTAATTAGTTAAATAAATTTAATTATAATTTATATGAATTATATATCAATTGAATGAATGAATGAATGAATGAATATGAAATAAAAAAAAAATTCATTTAAATAATAAATTAATTCAATATATTAATATTATCTACAATAAACTATTATTATCTACTGATTATCTATATGAATCTTTGAAATATTTTCATCTCAATCGATTGATCAATATTTTGTCTCACCTTAAAGTTATCAAGATGTTATCGGCGTCAAGATAATTTCATAACTATCGTCAGAAAAATTTCAAACGATTTGACCAAATCATCCTAAACAAATCTAAAATCTTCTAATCTACTCGCAAACGTTAAAACAAAAAAATTGTAAAAAAAAAAAAAAAACACATTCTATTGCGTTCGGTTGTATATCAAAAGATACTTTCAAACGAGATTCTTTCATCTGACAGCATGGTTGACACGCTTGGTTGAGTTCATGCAAAAAGGGTACGTCGAAAACGTTCGACAACGAAGACGACGAAGACGACGACGACGAAGACGACGAAGACGACGACGACTCAATCGACACATGGATGATCCAAAAATAACGTCGACGATTTTTTTTGATAAGCCAAGACTTATGTTTAGAAAACTTCAACAACTACACGAGTACAGTTAAATGACAAAATTTGTGACTCATTGCTAACGTTACCCTTAAAAAAACCATTATACACACTTTATCAAATAATATTTATCTTGTAGGAAGATTCGTCTGATAAAAGAATAAGGAAGAAAAAAAAAAAAAAAATAAGGTCTTCTCGACTCGGTTAAAAATCCAATTAACGAACTCGCCCAAGTACCCTTGGTCTCTCTTTTCACCTTCATACCCATCCCCCAGTTTCACCAGTTTACCTTTTCTCGCATCTTTCTTCTAACATCGAACTTCGAAAAGCATGAAACGCGTTTGTCACGCTAGTTTAACACGCGACTCGAGACAATCTTCTCTCTCTCTCTCTCTCTCTCTCTTTTTTTTTTTTATTTTTGTTTCACCTTTTGGTAATACCGAAACGGAATGAACAATTGAAAAGCCCAAATTACTTCAAACTTTGAAAAAAGAAATTTTGGTTCATCGATTAATCTCCTGTTGTTACTAATTTTTACTTTTATTCATTAATTTTCTTTTCTTTTTCTTTTTCTTTTTTTTTTTTTACCTGTAATAATAGTAAATACAAGAAAATAAAATGAAATGAAAAGAAAAAGATAACAGGGATAATCATCGAATCGAAAACACGATCTCGAATGGAAAAAGGAAGAAAAGAATTGAATTTTCTCTCTCTCTCTCTCTCTCTTTCTCTTAAGATGGCAATAATTACAATTTACTTTAGATATATATCGTATATAAATCGTGGTTGAGATAAAAGTCCGTATAGATGCGTGTAACGGAGAAGAAACTGCTGAACGATCCCATCCGGAAGGTAAAAAAATTAATTGCTTAAATCGTCGTTAATTATAGCTCGAGGATAGGGGATGCGTGTCTCGTCAAGAATCGACGTCGATCACGCCCGTGAATGCCAATGTATATATGTGTATATGTGCGTGTGTATCTGTTCGGTAAGTACTTAAGTACATCTAGTAGGAAAATGTGTGTATTGGTACAAGGAATAAAGTAAGTAAGCAAGCAAGCAAGCAAGCAAGCAAGTAAGATGATATTAAGTATCCAAGTATAAGTCGTTTCATTTCCATTTGACATTTTTTTTTCTTTTCTTTTTTTTTCTTTTTTTTTTTTGTTTCAAAAACGTTTATCCTTCTGGAAAAGTGTATACAGGTGTAAAAGATGGGAAACGTTTTCTTCTTCGAACACTTTTACAATTTGGTTCTTTTTTTTCTTTATTTTTTTTTTAAATATTTCTCGTAGCGTATCCTTTTGTGCACTTCTTCTTTTATTTCTATTTATTATTTCAACAAAATGCATAAAAGGTAATCACACGAATGTTGGTAATTGTGGTGGTGGTGGATCATTCGGTGATGTGTATGACGCATCGTAATTACCATACGTGGAATTAAAACTTCTTTTGTTTGCGATTTGCCGACTTATCTTTCCAACGGAGAGATATGCACGCACACACAACGTTTATATTAAATAAAAAAAAAAACTAAAAATGGAAAGCAACGAACACGGTAAACATTTGTATACGATTAGAAGACGCGAATGATTCGATGAGTGACAAATAATCAAATAAAAAGAAGCTCACCGTCGATAAGGGAAGCCGGTGGTACGGTCATTTGTTGATGATGATGATGGGCAGCAGCCGGATGTTGATGATGATGAGTCGGATGAACCTGAAGAAGGTGCGACCTCGTCTGGGAGAAGGTCGGCGAGGGTGGTTCCCAAGGTCGCGTTACACCCGTACTCACGGGAAGGTCCTCGTCGTGACAGCAAAACTTGTCACTCGTAGCGCCGCTACCGGCGCCACTGCAATTTAGCACAGCGTGTCCCTCGTTATTGTTGTTGTTGTTGTTGCTATTACTTACGTCCGAGCCGCTTTGACCATTATTGTTGTTAACATTTCCGTTGCTCCCGTTATTATTATTATTATTACTATTATTATTATTATTATTATTGGTCGCGTTAGAATTCGTATGATTATTATTATTATTATTATTGCTATTGTTACTATTGCCGTTGGCGTTAGGATTATTATTATTATTATTATTACTATTATTATTATTATTATTATTATTATTATTAGTTAGTCTCGTAGAAGCGGTCGCAGGACTACCACTACCACTAGCACTGCCACTGACACTTCCACTGCCAATGCCCTCGACCTGCACCATCTCGGCGTCGATCGCAGCCACCGACTTGGCAGTACCACCAGGAGGGCTCGCGACGCCACCACCGATCATCATCACCAGACGAGATCTCTCGGCTGGATCCTCCCCTCCACCGGTTGCCTGCTTTCCTGCCTGCACCGGCTCCTCCCTCGCACCTTGTTTCCTCCTCTTTAACGTACACACACACACATACACACACGTGCTCTCTTATTGGAATACAAAGGTGCCAGAGGGAATACAAACGCAATCGGACCTTCTTCTTCTCCTCCTCCACCTTCTCCACCACTTTCCCCTCCTCCTTCTCCTCCTACTTTCCGTTGGTTGTACCAACGGTGATAGGATTTGTAGAAGTAGTGATACGTTGTATTCTCGACATCGATGAAAACGATAATAATAAAACGACGACCACGATGACGATGATGACGACGACGATGAGGTTTGGTAGCTCGCTCGTGGCGAGCCTTCCTCTTCTTCAACGTGACACGAGGAGCACAACATCACGTAAGCTCAACCGATTGTCTTCCATCGCTGCAATTTCTATCTATCCTATTTTTATCTTTCTTCTCTTATGCAACCACAAATAATACAACTCTAAATAACTCTCTCTCTCTATCTCTCTCTCTCTCTCTCTCTCTCTCTTTCTATTCAGTTGTTGTTTCCTTTATTTTATTTTTTTCTTGACAGCAGACAAATTGGCGGCTGTTCGCGTTCCGCCGGATTCGTGAAGATTGTCTGCCTTCCGTTCAAAGACTCGTTCGAAGCGTAACCCGGACTAGCCTTACCCCCACCCCAACTACTAACACACACCTCCAATCATTTTGCAAAGGTGAGAGATTGTGATTTAAAACGTCCGATACGTTCAACCCCTTCTCTTTTCTCTCTATCTTAGTTTGGTCTTTAATAAAGAACCACAACACAACGTTAAAAGATAAGAGAAGAGAAGAGAAGAAAAACACAACAACAACAAGCAAGTAAGCAACAACCAACCACCATCACCACCACCACCACCACCACGCGAGGTTAACGTTGCTGCTCACGCTCCGCCGGATTCGAGCAGATTGCCTGCCTTCCGTTCGGACTCGTTCGAAGCGCGCACTCCGAGCGGCCTTACCCCCACCGTTTATTTCACCGAGAAAGAGAAAGAGTAACCATATAGAGAGCTACAGACACCCAAAGAGAGAGAGAGAGAGAGAGAGAGAGAGTGACTGAGACAGAGAAAGAGATTTAAAGCGTCGCGACGCCCAACCAACACCACATTCCCCTCCTTTCACCTCCCCACTTCTCTTCCCATAGAGAACCCTCTTCCTTTCTCTCTCTCATACCTTTGAGAAGACACGAGCAATCTGCTATCTCTCTCTCTCTCTCTCTCTCATTCAACACACTATGACGGGATTCAAGCGGATTGTCCGATCCCCGTTCGAAGCGCGCACCCACCGAACAGCCACCTCCTCTTCCTCACCTCCTCCTCCTCCTCCTCTAGCCCCTCTTTTGCAAGTGAGATCGAGATTGAAGGTGCACCCTGGATGAAGGAGGTGGTCTCACGATTACCACGCCAATCCTCCTCGATCGAGTTCCTTCAAACCGGTTGAGAAGTCTCTCATACGAATACACACACACACACACATACAGCTTCAGACAGACAAGAAGCAGACGTACACTACTATAAGGTTGACTTAGAGTATAAGAAAAAGATAGAGACAGATAGTAGTAGTAGTAGTAGTAGTAGTAGTAGGAAAGAGAGAAACAGGGAAGAGATCGAAGAGGAAGCCAGACGAGAGTTTGTTAAAAAGCCAACCAAGTGCGCACAACCGTCGCGCATCCGTGGTTACATCTACGCCCACCGACCATTACCAACTCGATCGACCAATTGGCCAAGCTCGTGGACGCCCACTGAGCTCACCGACCTCGCCTTTTTCCTCTTCTTCTTCTTCTTCTTCTTCTTCTTCTTCCTCTTCCTCTTCCTCTTCTTATTCTTCTTATTCTTATTCATGTCTCTTTCGCCCACGCTTTCAGAGAGTTCACAAAATCCGACCTTAGCTGACAACCGTCGCTTGAACTAACCCTTTTCACTCTTTCTCAATTCTGATGATCATCAAAGGATATATCATCCGTTTGATCATGTTTTTCATGGATTTATCTTGGAAATCATCAATGTGATGATTTTTATTGTTGATAGTAGTACACTTCATATCTTCAATGGGGTGTTTTTTAACAAATCTTGCGTAGATACTTTGAGGATAAAGTTTTAACCTGTTACAGGAGAGTTTTTACAGTTCGAAAGCAAAATTTCTTTTTACATAAAGTAGCTTTAGTTTTTAAATATTAGGTTTTTTTTTTTTTAATAAATGAAATCATAATTATTAATTTTATAATAAATAATATCATATAATTAGTTTTTTAATAAGTAACATCATAATTTAGTTTTTAAATATGAGGTTTTTTTTTAATAAATAAATATTGAAGTACAATTATTAGATTTTTTATAATATAAATATTCTATTTTATTTATTATACAAATTTGTCTATATCAAATGTAAAATATATATATTTTTATTTGTATATTATTACATATACTATTAATATATTATATATAAATTTAGAAATAAATTAAATTAATTTGAATTTAATAATAAATTAAAAATTTCAATTTACAAAGTTACAATCAAATCTCGTTATCGTTAAATTAAATTAAATTCATTAACAAACATTTTTAATTTCCTATATTAATAAAATGTATATTTTCTAAGAATTATAAAAAAAGCTCGCTATATAAGGGGAGGGGGGTGTAGGGTAAAGTAGGGTCTTTGCAACATTGGTATAGGAAGTATATTTCGCGAGTGTAGTTACGGTTGTTCGCAATTGTATCTATCCACACTGACGATTAAGGTTTAAAAGAGAGATAGAGAGGTTTTATAAAGAGAAATATAAGAAAAGAAAGAGAAAGAGAGAAAGAAAGAGAGAGAGAGAGAGATAGAACAATGTTCGCACAGGTAGAACTATTATTTATAGGTAGAAGAGAACGTGTAGCTTGAGTTTTGAAGTTATAAAAGCACGGAATCTCTTGTAGGTGATCGATATAATACCCGAGCAGCTTTTCCTTAGGGGTAGGTACCATCGACCCGCAGGTATGTATTGTTAAGGTAAGAAAGGTATAACCTATGTACGAGCGAGCAGCATGCAAATGGCGAATTGTGTTCTGCTACCGTTCACCAACAACACCCACCAAGAGATATTTCCCTTTGCCATGAGCCACCCTCTCACCCTCGTGAGACGTATAAATTGATTTATCCACGCGACCCAACAACGACGGAGGAGTGCGTTCGCCAATTTATACGATAGGTGCATCGATCTCAATCTAAACCCCCCTTAGTAAGGGGGTAGTACTCTCTTCACCCTCCATTATTTCCACTTTTTTTTTTCTTCTTCTTTTTTTTTTCTTTTCTTAGACTGTAATCATTTTTTTCTTTCTCTTTCTCTCTCTTTTTTAACATTTCCGTACAAACTTTCGTTCACGTTGTAATTGGTTCTTATTCTTTTTTCTTTTCTCTCTCTCTCTCTTACTCGATGAATTAGGATTGTTTGTAATAATAAAAAAATATAATAGTACTATAAAAGTTACTATATAAAAATGTTGATAGTATTGTATAATAATTTGCAACAAATGTTATATCAACTAATGCATTAATGTTTGATATGTTAAATCTGTAATACGAATAATCGTTCAAATAACATCGTGTAAATATTGAAAATATTGTCCCCCCCCCCCATGGTTTATTAATATATCACCCATTTATTAATAAAAAGTGTTACTAAAGTAGCTGATAAATAAATCAAATGATATATCTATCATTTCTTATAGTCGGTTATAAAAGAAATGACTATCACAACCCCATCGATCATCGTTTCTATTCAAACGGAACCATTCGTTTTATATGAAAACTAATCTGACAATATTTTTTTTTTTTTTTTAATTAAAAAAACATTTAATGAATTGTAATTTTAATTTAAATTAAAAGAGTCAACATTTGTTGACAGGTGTAACCAAAGTACAAATTCAATGATGTTAGTCTCTGACGACTCAGTGTGTCGTCACGTCCTGTTAAAGAATATGACACGTTTCTCTTCGTAATAAGCACTTTCTAGTTAGAACTCTGAGAATAGGTGAAAAACCTAATGACATTTATTTTATAACGTGAAACTTCCTTTTTAAATATTTCTAACATTTTTTTTTTTAATTTATTTATGTTTTGTTTATTAATGCACGTTATTATTTACTTCCTATCGTTAATTATAATTATGTTTCTATACACACACACACACACACACTAGTTTGAAATTATTTTATTATTTATTATTTTATTATTTATTATTTCATTATTAATTTTACATTTATTTAATAAATATTATCTATATATTATTATTATTATTATTATTATTATATGTAACAAATTATTTATAATAAAAAAATAAAATTTTAATAATTTAATATATATTAAATAATTAATTATTATTTTATAATAATTTAACAACTAAATTAATATAATAAACTATTTATATTAAATAATAAAATTTTATTTTTAATATACAATAAATATAATTAAATTATTAATTAAAGCATACCGTGCATAATTTCACATTGACATTTAATTATTTTCTAATCGAATTATTTTCAATTTGATCTTCCTAAAAATAATAAAATAAAATAAAATACAAAATTTCAAATATTTTCATAATTCTATAAATAGAAATAATAAATTGTACAAAATTTTGTACGAATTCGTTGAGAAAAAAAAAAGAAAAAGAAAAAAAACTGAAAGAGAAAAAATGACACGTAACGGTACACGTTTAAAGAATTCTATTCAAAGTTATTTATAAAATAATAATAATAATAATAATAATAAAAGATAACACACATCCTTCGAAACTTGATTATATCCTGGTTCAAAATAAAACAGGCTAATCGTGTGACCACAGAATTTAAGTGACCAACCACCGCACCAATTCAAGTTCTTACCGCAATATTCCGTGAAGAAAGAAAGAAAGAAAGAAAGAAAGAGAAAGAGAAAGAGAGAAAGAAAATATTTTCGAAGTAGGCCAACGGTACTTGTAAGAAAACCAATGCACGAAATTATTTGCACACTTTTTGTTTCTCTCTTTTTTGCTGGATTTCAATGCGTCAAAGTTGAACATAAACATGAATTTTTTTCAACATGTTTCATAAAAAAAAAAAAAAAAAAATCTTCAAAAAATGATTCTCAACTTGTCAGAAGATAAATTATTTGAATAAACAATAAGAAGAAATGTGTGAATTGAAATAATAATTAATTAATTATCACAGTTTCATTTAAAAAAAAAAAAAAAAAGAGAAGAAATGTTGTCATTAAATACAAAAAAAAATTCTCAAAATGATCATGAACCTGTCAGAAAATAAATTATTCGAAGAAAACAAGAAAAAGAAGAAGAAGAAGAAGAAGAATAAATTTGTGAGTTAAAATAATAATAATAATAATAATAATCAAGTATAACAAACTTAGGTATGAAAATGCGTGACGAAATAGTGAAGTTGACGGCCTTTGAACAGCATAACTTCCAAGCAAAGATATATATATATATATATCATGTATCACTTCGATTTCATATATCAATTTCAATATCTCGGCCCTGTCTAATGTATAAGATAATGAAGTAGTTTCGAAGTTGACTAACCAGTTTTTCAAGGATCATCGTTGAAAAAAGAAAAAAGAAAAATGTCATTTAGGTTAAAACTAAATCCAGATAGGAGAGATATATTAATTTTCAAATGTGCAATGTCAAACAACCCTGAAATTGATACTTACTAATAAAATCTAATCGAATCTGTATATATGTATGTATGTATACTTTGACACAAACTAACAGATTAATATCTCATAACTATGTTTAATTAATATACAAAAAAATATATATATATATATATTATAAAAAAAAAAAATATATATATAAACAAATCGTAAAAACGTGAAACGTGATCGATTCTCCCATTGCACAAGATATTAATTAATATTGAAGTAATTAAATACTATTTAAACCTAATCCTTTTTCCTTGATCGTATACACACGTATATATTATATCCTTGATATTATACAGAAGTAAAGTAAAGTAATGTAAAGTGTATTATAAATAAGTTCAAGATTATATCCTTAAAAACACAGATCTTTCCTTGTGTCTCACTTTGCAATTAATTTACGATTACATATGTAAATATATATTATGTATATATGTGTGTGTGTGAACATAAAACGTATACTTCGTCGTTCTTTCGTACGTAAGTTCGTTAAATTACACCTCGAGTGTTTTTTCAAATGAAAAATCACAATATTAAACAACACATGCGATCTATAAAGTTTCATTCGTTGGTAAAACACGTATCAATGAATTGTACGAGCA